GGTGCGTTTCTATCAGTCTTCCTACCATTATGACCAAGTTGCGAAAACAAGTTCAAACAACTTCTATTCATTGTTGTATTTAACCTGAATGCAGAGTATAGAAAATTAGGTAAGCAACCATGTCAACTAAGCAACGGATTATTTCAATAACAAAATCGGATTCACATGGCCTTCCTAATATTTAGCTTGGAATATGGTGCATCAAGCATTTAAAATGCGCATGTAAAAATTATCAGAAATTCCGTATAATATAAATCTTAGAGAAAATTAATACTTTTTAACTGAATAGAATATTTCGTTATCAATGGAGAGGGCCCAACAATAAAGGAGCATTTAGCGGCGCTCATAAAGGTGAGATGAAAAATTGCAAAACATTAACTCATAACTCGTAAATATGGAGGCCAGGACGATGTGGCCTCAGGTTTTATCGTAGTCTCTTTTAGCTGTAAAGAATTCGTTTGACTTCGTTTTCACAACTTGATGAGAGTAACAGAGAGACCTAAAAGTGGACAATTATGCAATCCGATGTTGGAAATTATCATAAATACTGACAGGACACAGAACTAGGTACGCCCCATAAGGTCTCCCTATCGCTCTGATCAAGCTGCGAAAATAAGGTCAAACCAACATTATTCATAAAATTTAAACGTAGTTACGAATACTAAGATGCTGTAGCCTCTATTTTGTCGCAGTCTCCTTTCAATGTAGATGTGGTTTGGCCTCATTTTTGCAGCTTGGTCATGTTGTCAGGGGGACTTAGTTGGACGCAATTTATCCGAAGTCCTTTACAATAATAGTTATCATATTTTCCAGCGCCGGATCGTTGACTTGATACATTCTCAGACGTTTAGCCAGTATCGTCACTCAGTCTTGCCATTCTCAGCACCATGCTACAACTTGTCAGAGACAAATGAAGCTAACTCCTTGGTCCGAGAAATAGCACCTTATTCGTTGAGAAAATCGAAAATGAAAACTACCAAATGATTTATGGTAGTTGAATGTGAAGTAACTCTTAACAAAACCCATGCATATTTAGAAGTCTGAAAACTGAAGCTAAATACTATATCTGGCAAGACAGCATGGAGATTATCATTAAGCAGCATGCCATTAAAAAAATCGAGCAAATACTAAGGGGATTTATCAGCAAGTTGATAAAATAAAAAAAGTGTAGAAAAAGTCGGTTCATGGCCAAATTTTAAAGACATGGGAAAAGTAAGAAACCCACTCTAAAACAGGATGAAGTCTGTAAAATTAGGGAAAAACAACATATCATAGGTTAATTTGTGTAAACGCGTAGATAAGGGTAATATAAAAATTTTCTTATAAAGCAAACGTTCGTAAAACAACTTCTACAGGTATATAAATAAAATACAATAACTTGCATGCAAAGACATTTGAGTAGCGATTCTTTGCCACGTTCTCGCCCATTTTGGCAACATCAGAAGACCAATCTTTGGATGCCGTCCGCTCAATTTCCTTGAAAACGTGACAACAAAATATCGCATTATTCAACTCGTTTATATTAATAAAGTGCAACCTGAGATAATATAAATACCGGATGGTCTCCCTAAAGATAATGTTTGAAATTATATTCGAATTTTAAAAATAATGTCCAAAAATTAGCAGAATGTTGATTGACGTTATTGTCCATAGCTTTAAAATTTAATTTTTATTGGGGGCTTGATCAAAGCTCAACAGGCTCTAAATGAAATGCAGACTAATGGCACGATGGTTTCCATGGTAATTAGTTATAAGCTCCATAATAAAATGCACTAGGCCTTAAAGAAAACAATATGAGAAAACAAATAAGATTAAATGAGGTGAGTTAGAAGCAAAGTAAAAAGATTGAATAACTATTTTTTCTTATTAAATCGTAAAAAAAACAAATATCTAGTTTATTAAATGCCAGAAACCCATAAATACGGACTTCCTTATAGTAATCCAGTTAAATGCACTTAGGTAGTCTGGAATTTGTTAAAAAATCTAATAAAACAAATATTTACTCGCAAAATACAATATGATCATGGTAAAGAATATAAATAAATGGTATACGCAAATCACTTAAGTACAAAATAGCACCTCAAATTCGGCCTGATAGCCCGCGTCATCATCAGCATGATATGTGGCCACATAGCTAGCTAGTGCATGGTAAGGAATGGCCGGATAAGGCGAGGAATCAAGCCGAAGTGGATTCATGCGGCGTGAATTGCCGTTGGAGTTAAGGCCAGCAGGACAGAAACCAGATGATGCGGGGTCTTCCAAAAGAGAGTGACGCTGAAGACCAATGTGTCGATTCAAGTGTCGGTAGTCAGTAATAGGCCGAGCAGAATGATGATCGAGACGCTGTCCAGTTATATCACAACCACTTCGCAAGGAATGAGAAGCATTACGAGAGCAGCAACTTTAGAGAAAAAACATGTATCGGCAAAAATACAATCCGCTTCATTTAAAAGGGCGAAATTCAAGCCACTTTCTAAAGGGAGCCCAGCAATATCACAAAATAATATTTGGTAAGTTGATAGCCTTATCTTTGCTAGAATAGATAGTACTAAGTTAATCTCTTTCAATAGGTATTCCTTGCGTTAATCCCGAAGATATATGATTAAAATGCTTACAATAAGTGCGTTAAACTGAACAATTGTAAACCAAGATGCATGTAAAAGCAACTTTTATTCGCACATGTATAAATAAAGTTAGCAAAATAGTTATAAAAACTTCGTTTTAATCGCAAAATTGATAAATATAGCAACATGAGCTTACAGAGCAAGTGATTTATTCTTAATTTAAATTGGTATTGGAGAGTAACATGAATTCTCGATGAAGGCTTGGAGAAAGCAAATGTGATCCAGCCAGAACAATTATCATGTTTATCGGAAAGAATGTAAAATTAATAGAGGCCAACAAGATTATCCTAATGAATTTCAAATTAATTAATTTCTCTATTATTACATACATTAATTAAAATAATGATAGAAAAAACTTATAAGCCAGTTAAATACATGTCATGGAAAATAGTAGAGCCACTAATAAATTATCTATATGTAATCGAGAATTTAAGGTATTTATTTTTCGTAACGTAGTCGATTGTTATAGCAAATATACATTTGCTTCATCGACAATCCCACCAAAGAATGTGATATGACAAAGGGCCTGGCCTTCATTGAAATTCACATCTGCCCTGTGACTTAAGGGAACTCGTGGCAATATGGCCGAGTGGTTAACATATAAAGCTCACATTCTGCACTGTCACGGTTCGACTCCCACTGGGGGTGTTGATTTGACCTATGCGAGGTCGGAACTGCAGTCCATCCTAGATGAGAACAACTTTTGGGAAAACAAGGCTAAGTGAAATTCAATGGAAACATCAGCTCTACTCATATCATTGTGAGAAAATTCTTAAGCTATTTAGTCGCAAAGATGATAGACTCCATCGAATCAACGAAAAAGCATCTTAAGGGTTAACGTCTGCTCGCAAAAACTACTCAAGAATTGACGTGGTGGCAATGCTTGAAGTTATCTCCACAAAATTTCTTTTAATGCAACCTATTGGCCAGTAAAGCATAATTTTTGTCCAGTTCTGAAACAGTGAGATAATGGCGCATTTTCAAATAGTCAAGTTGCAAAAATCAATCGAACTAGAAAGATGAATATATTTGAGAAATTACAGCATAAGC